AAGTATAACAGCCCCTCCACTTTCTTGCTCAGTCCAGCTTCTGGCCCTTCCCTTTCCCAGGTGTTAATCTCAAAATAAATACCAGACACACCCCATCCTAATCTCCAGCTCAGAATCTGCTCTGCAGGGAGCCCAACCAACTGCACCTGCCAAAGACTTCTTTGGAACCACAAGCAAACTGCTGAAAAGGCGCAATCATCAGTGGGACTCCACAGTCTGTAACTGAACTGGGATGGCAATGAATGGCTGTGTACTTATTTGCTCTACATCATCACTCAAAGACAAGTTCAGATTTCATTCTGATCCTTAGGGTTTAAACCACAGCCAGCTGAAAACAGAAAGTATGTTTTCTTCAAGTTCAGTCCTGAGCATATGGAGGTCCTGATCCTGATTGACATGTAGACACGGGTTAGAAAGGTTGGCCAAGACCTACTCACTACTCAGAATCTCCAGAAGATTTAATTTCTCAATTTGAAATCAAAGGATATGAAAGTGGAGATTCTTGCCAACCATGCCCAAATGATATTGGTGCAGACTAGGGCACAAGATATTAATCTGACTCCAGAAACACAGGGGACTGGCACATTCCTGACCCTGGTAGTAGCAGTGGCTCCCCACTTCTGAGCAGGTAAAGGAAATCGAGGGCTCCTGTCTTCGCTTCTCCAATCTCCTTCTCTCTCACTTCTCTGATCCCCTTCTCTCCAAAGTGGAGGCTTAGGAAATCTGGAACATGTGGATGCCATTCTAGACTCATCACGTATCGTCATCATTCTAGACTCAGTTATGTAGATACAAATAATTTATTAACTTCTCTGTCTCGTTGTCCTTATCTGAAAAATGAAGGATGATGGAAATTTCTATGGTTCAGTTTGCAAGAACAAAAACATAAATTAACATGATGTATATAGAGCTTTGCAGAGCATGGGTTTGACATTCTATTCTGATAGCTCACCTTTGCTGCACAGAGAATTAACTGAAGAATTTTTAAAAATTCTGAAACCCAGAAAGTACCCTCAGACTGTTTAATATACTTAGTTTGGATGCTAAAGAATAAAAAAAGTTTGTAGTTTTCCAGGAGCTTCTAAATTAAAAAAATTAAACTATTTATTTATTATTATTATTGTATGTATGCATGATGTGGGAGTGGGTGTGCATATCATGGTACTTGTGTGGAGGTCAGAGGACAACTTTGTAGGGCTGGTTCTCTCTTTCCACCTTTGCATGGTTCCAAAACTGAACTCAGGCTATCAGACTTGCATAGCAAGTGCCATGACCCACTGAGACATCTCCCTGGGTCCTTTCCAGGTGTTTCTAAAGTTCTAAAAACCAAGAAGTATCACTATCATTAGATTAAGCCAACAACTACCATCTGAGCTCTGTACAAATGATCCCTCATCCCATTTTCAGACAAGGAAATTGAGGTCCAGAAATGTTAGAAGATTGCTCACAAGGAGCAAAGCTGGATTGAATTCTCACAGGAAACCTTCCAAGACCTTACAGGTCACCAATACTTTTGATATCACCCACCTGATGTAAACAGTGTCTGGGTGGTCTCTAGCACGCAGAAGTTCCACATCTGGATGCAACTTTTGTTCCTTGCTTTTTAGATTCTCTGTTCCTTCATTCTCTGCACATCATAATCCACAGCCCAAAATATCACTGGAAGTTTTGTAGGAGTGAGTGATAAAGAGAAACAGGATACAGAATAGATCCAGAAAAGGAAACTCTTCGCCTTCCGCACTCCACTTTCCTAAAATCTAGCTATTAGCATACACTTATTTTATATTTAAAATATTTTTCTTGAGAAGGGTCTTGCACTGCTTATACTGGTCTTGCACTCCTGGGCTCAAGCTATTCAGTTGTCTCAGCTTCCTAAGTGCTGGGGCTACAAGTAGGTGTTTTGGTGCCCAGGTTCAAAATCTTTTAAAATAATTATAAAGGATACAATATTGAAAATATCAAATATCCAAGGAGTAAGTTTCCTTCCTCTGATCTAAATCAATGTTTTCTTTTGTCTGTGCCAACTTCTAGGCCTGTTCGTGAGGATGAACTTTTTTTGTGTTTATGGTATCACAATATTCATGTTTATAATGGTCTGTTAACATGATGCCACATATATTTTTTTCTAGATTTATCTTATCGCCTCTGGCATAGCTCTGTAGATAACGGAGGTCATTTTGTCATTAACTGGGTGAGAGGTATTTTCATTAAAAGTTTCTTTCTAAGAAAAGCAAAAGTTGAACCTGATTACTCTGAAGCTGGTATAACAACTTAGAAGATTGCAAAAAGTCACACGACATGATGTTTGCCTTCCCTGACTCACTGTGTAGGCTTAAGAACCTACCCTCCCTGGCCCTTATGCCTGGCAGGAATAGGAATTCAAAAGGTAATTGATGCATGAACAAATGACACTTCTTCTAAGCTCTACAGTGAAGGCATTGAATAGGATTTCCTAGAAACAGGGACAGAAGACCCCAAGCTGAGAGCAGGGCAGGATGGACAGCAGCAACGCAGGCAGGAAAGACTGCCGGAAACCCGATGGTAAAGGCCATCTGAATTGGCCAGGAGGAAACATGAGGTTTCCTGAATCATACCCATTTGAACTTTTAATCTTGAAGAACAACATGTGCAAATCACATCAGGGATCTACAGCTCATGTTTTGTGGTTATTTTTTAAAAATCCATTTATATTTTTGAGTCCTCTTTCCCTATGCACTGTACCTGGTAGAGACAATTACTGCTAAAGAAAGGAAGAAGAAAGAAGGAAAGACGCTTCAGTGAGTTGAAGGTGTGTTTCAGGTGAAATAGTCTATGCAATGTCCTCAGTGGAGAGAGTCTTAAACTGAATCTATTGCATCTTTTCTGGATACCACAGTGAGATTTCAGGAAATTATAGCCATCTAAAATTGATATAAATTATGTGTCTGCAGAGGCAGGTGGATCTCCATGAGTTCAAGGCCAGCCTGGTCTACATAGTGAGTTCCAGCCCAGCTGGAGCTACAGGAAGACTCTGTCTCAAAAAAGACCAAAACAAACAAACAAACAACAACAACAACAACAAAAAGTATATGTCTGTCTAGAGAAGAGGCCTCAGGTTTCTCTCATCAGTTTCTCCTGTCTTTGGTTATAGGACCTCATTCCCCTTTCACTGTATCGAATTTGTCAAATTTATCCATTCAAGCGGGTCTCTTCTTTTTGCTGGGAGATGGGGATGAGAGAGGCACAAGACTAACCCCATCCACAGCCTTCTTAGAATTCTGAAAGGCTGGGGCTGGAGAAATGGCTCAGCGGTTAAGAGCACTGACTGCTCTCACAGAGGACCTGGGTTTGATTCCCAGCATCCACATGGCAGCTACGAACTGTTCTTAACTCCAGTTCCAGGGGAACTGAAGCCCTCTCTGACCTCCACGGCACTGCACACATGGGTGCACTCACATACTTGTAGGCAATATACTCATACACATAAAATAATAATAATGATAATAATAATAATAATAATAATAAAGAATTCTGAAAGGTTTAGAGTATGCCCAGCACATACAAGGGCTCCCGAAGTTAGCTTTTCTGCTACCTTTACTTTAAGCACTTCCTTTTCTTCTCAGTCTCTCAACACTCCCGTGAGGTCACATAAGTCCTGTGTCTTCCTTATGAGTATCCTGAAACTCAGAGATGGAAACATTAACCCAAAATCACAGAGATAGAGTTCAGACCTGTCTGACTCCAAAGCTTGGACTCTTCCAGTCTACAACATGGTCTGAATTGCTAGCTGGACTTTTGTCTGGAGACAGCTCCTCTGCCAATCTGAGCTTCCACATCTGAAGCTCAGAGCCCTGCCCTCTCCCTAACTCTGTCCATCAGAACAGGCAGAGAGCACAAAAACAAACTTCTTTCAGCCAAGGCATAATCTACTTGCTTACATAATTTAGCTCCAATCATCCCCTTGAAATTCCACACTCAAAGCCAGTTTCTGTCCCAGCACACGGAGCATTAATTAAATAACTAAATCACAGTCAAGTCTCTACCCTTTTTGATGCCAGCAAATCAAAACCAGAGGGGAAGGAATATTTTCTAGTAGTCACAAAGAACAGGGGAAATGTATTTTCTGGTTTTAAATCCATGTTTAAGTTTGTATCTATCAAAACTACTTTGTCATTTGAGAATCGTGATAACTGCATCAAGGATTTTCCAGGCACTTTATGTGTTACTTCCGTGGTTCAAAAGAGTCAATTATGGGCAAGTCATTACAGTTCACACAGGCAATAACGGTAGAACCAGGGCTTGGAGCTAGGCCTGATGACAGCATCAATGCTGTTAGTCACATCCCTGCTACCCCTTCTACAGTGGGGGGTTCATAGCACCCACTGTCAACGTCACCTCTGGTTTTCCCTGTGCAGAAAATAACTGGCCTTGAAATTTGGCCAGCCTCCTGGTAAGACCAGCCGTGGAAGGGGACAGATGGACTCTATAGAAACAAGGTTTGGCTCCCCTTGATTCTGCACTTAATACTTCTGTCACCTTGATGAGGTCCCTTAATCTACCAAAGTCCCTGATTGCTCACCTAAATAGCAGAAAGCATTGTTAATACTCCACTTTGCAGGCATTTAAAGAACTGGAGTCAAGGCTTAAAGTGGAGCAAATGTTAGCTATCTTGATGAACTAATTCGACAAAAGTAGATAGAAGCCTTTTCTCCGGCCTCATCTGCCTTCTTGATCACCACCAGCACCACCTGGTGCTCCCCTACTCCCCAGTGACTCCTGGTCAGTTTCCATATTTACAGCTCTCTTGCCTGGCCTGAAGGACTGGCCTTGGGTGCTCCGATTCTGCGCGCTTTCCTCTCTCCTTGCCCTGTCTCTGGGCACCAGGGTCTGCCTTTTCTCTGGACCCGGTGCACACACCAGAGCCAAACTCTTAGCCAGGCTGCTCTGAGCTCGCAGAGCCAACGCCTGCTGTGCAAAAGGCTCTATGCGACCCGCCCTCCTGGAGGGGTGTGACCCAGAAGTGTGGATAGGAGGTGCCCAGTGTAAGGACACCCTGCTGTCCTCTGAGTTTCCTCTGCAGTACAGACTCAGGAGCGGCCGGGGGTTCCTCTGCGCCCTGGCACCAGGGTCCTGGTCCTGCCGCAACCTCCCCTCCAGCCCTTGGCGCCAGCTGGCCATGAAGTCGCCCTTCTATCCCTGTCACAACACCACCTGGGTGGAGACGGGCTCCTCGGCGACGATGGGTGGCGTGCTGTTCAGCGCGGGCCTGCTGGGCAACCTGCTGGCGCTGGCGCTGCTGGCGCGCTCCAGGTTGGGGTCCCGCCGGCCGCGCCCCGCGCGCCGGCTGCCTTCTGTCTTCTACGTGCTGGTGTGTGGCCTGACAGCCACCGACTTGCTGGGCAAGTGTCTCGTTAGCCCGGTGGTGCTGGCAGCCTATGCGCAAAACCGGAGCCTGTGGGGACTGCTGCCCGCCCCGGGAGACCAGCTGTGCCAAGCCTTCGCCTTCATCATGTCCTTCTTTGGGCTAGCCTCGACGTTACAGCTGCTGGCCATGGCGCTGGAGTGCTGGCTGTCCCTAGGACACCCCTTCTTCTACCAGCGGCACATCACCCTGCGCCGGGGCGCGCTGGTGGCGCCGGTCGTGGGCGCCTTCTGCTTGGCTTTCTGCGGGCTCCCCTTCGCGGGCTTCGGGAAGTACGTGCAGTATTGTCCCGGCACCTGGTGCTTCATCCAGATGGTCCACGAGAAGGGCTCGCTGTCGGTGCTGGGTTTCTCTGTGCTCTACTCGAGCCTCATGGCGCTTCTGGTCCTCGCGATCGTGCTGTGCAACCTGGGCGCCATGCACAACCTCTACGCCATGCACCGGCGGCTACGGCAACACACGCGCTGCTGCCCCAGGGACAGCTTCGAGCCAGGCGCCGGCCAGACACAGGGGTCCTCACATCCCCTGGAGGAGCTGGACCACCTCCTGCTGCTGGCCCTCATGACCGTGCTCTTCACAATGTGCTCCCTGCCTTTAATTGTGAGTCCCTAGACGCCGAGGCTGGGAGGAACTGGGGCAAGTCAGGCGGCCAGGTGGGAGGATGGAGTGGGATGGAAGTCGCGCTCTAGAAGCTGAGTCCCTGGCCAAGGGGTGTTGATGCTGTGCTCAATGCATCAAATTCCCGCCACAGCCCTAAGGTATAGCCCAATTTGTTGAGGGAGAAGAGGGAATCAGCTAAAGGATAAGAGAGACAAATCAGTGATATCCCGGAACCCAGCAAAAGCCCTTCCAATTGGCAGACCTGTGCTTCTGTCCAGGGAGGACTCCAGTCATTTGTGCGCCTCAGACCTTGGTCCTCTACTTTGACCGCCCTCGCCCCCTCCCCGCTAGTAATGTTTTATTTCGTTAGATCTGTCGTTAATTTTAGTGGTGTTAGAAAGGGATGTCATGGGGGCATCTCTTCTCGGGGGTTTTGGCATGGAAAAGGCCGAAAGAAAGGGTTAATTCTGGCTGAGTGACTTGCAGAGGTGACAAATTAGCTTTGAAAACTTCCGGGGAAGAGGGGGTAGTGGGAGTGATGGTCAACTGTGTAGAGGCTGAGGGGTTTCAGGTGATGAGATTTTGTTAACCTGTCTTGACAGGTTTTGTTTCTATCTTGGCCAGTGAGGTGACAAAAACTTCATTATCTTAGAATCCAACTTACAAGAAGATGGTGACAGAGTGACTGAGGCTCCTCCCCCCTCTCCTGCAATCCTCAAAATATTTGATCAGCAAGAATAATATTTAAATAAATTACAGGATGTGGCCAATTCAAAGTCTTTGGGGTGCTGAATATTATTTTCAATCATGTATAAAGAGGAGGTATAAAGTTTTTCCCAGACTAGCCTGCAACTTGCTCTGCAGACCAGACTAGCCTGAAACTCTATCCACCTTACAGGCTCTGGGATTACAGGCCAGCATCCCCACATCTTAAATGAAGGCTTTGATATGGGAAAGGTAGAGAAGCAGGATTAGTATCAGTAAGAGACAGAGATAGAGATTAGGGAGAGGGGGCCCAGAGCAAACATTTTCAGCAAGCTCTTCAGGGAAAGGAAAGAGAGAGAGAGAGAGAGAGAGAGAGAGAGAGAGAGAGAGAGACTTGGAGATTTGTGTCAATACAGGGCATCATGAGAATTAAAGGAAGTAATGGACTTGAAATTATTTTCTAAAACAACTTGTAAAGTTCCAGATATGTGGAATCCAGATAGCATTCTTCGTAGGAACTATCATTTCCTGGAAAGGATTTAGTGTCAGCTATGGGTCTGGATTAGGTTTCATCACTTACTGGCTGTGGTAGAGGCTCATAACACACTACTTCTGTAAGAGCAATGAATACTTAAAATCACACACACACTGAGCAGTCTTTGTTTTTTAATCTCTGTGTGTATTATGTATGTGTGGACATGTGCGTGCCCCTGCGCATGCATGTGTGGGGGTGGGGGGACACGTATGCCATGATGCCCATGTGCCTGTCAGAGGACAACCTCAGGTGTAAACCCTTGCTTTCTACTGTGTTTGGGGGTCTTTTTGGTGTTCCTTGCTACTTAGGCCACACTGGCTGGCCAGCAGGTTACTGGGGCTTCTCCACCACCCATCCTGCCATAGGAGCACTAGGATTATTGAATCCAGCTTGTGAGTTCTGGAGATTTGAATTCTTGTCCTCATGCTTTCACAGCAAGTGTGTTTACCCACAGAGCCATTTCCCCAGCCCTGAGCATTTTAACCAGAAAACCCTAAATGCTTCAAAATCTAAAATTTTGAGCACCAACATACTATAAATAGAAAAATCCCACCTCTGATCTCATGTGGTAGATTATAATTCAAACATGTACCTGTGTCAAATATTGTATAAAATTACCTTCAGACCACAGGTGTGTAAGACATTTATGAAATTAATAAATTTCATGTTTTAACTTGGGTTCCATCCCAAAGTATTGTTGTTGGAACTCTTTCCCTACAGAGATATAAGCAAGCATCAACCCTTTCCTTATAGGGCACTAATGACAAAACAAAGTCCAATTCCACCAAAGTCCAACTTGGGGGACCGATGAGTTTACTGGGCTTACCTATAGAGCATATGTGACAGGTTTCTGGCAGGGGTATGGGTGACCTCAAAGCAGCTGCTCCACTAAAAGGTCTCATCCCAGAGTAGATGAAAACTTCCACAGAGCTGCATAGCTGAAGTCCCCCTTTCAGTTAACGCTCTATGCTCTGTGCACTCTCACCTCCCGAGACTGGGGCTGCATGCAGCTCTAGCAGAATCTCATATGACTGGCTAGGAGGTGTAGGCGGGAGTGGTGGGAATCTCAGGTGAGGGTACAATGGCCTTTCCCAACCCCTCCTGTGAGGAAGCATCAACAGTCCACAAGTCTGATCTCGGGCTCTCATAGGTACTCTGATGAAAATAGTGGCTGTACTCTCTGAGGATAGCTTTCTACCACACCGTCTCATGCTGCGTATGTACATATTCCATAATCTGAACTTCCAAAAACTTTCCCAAGCATTTGGAATAGGGTGTGTGTGTGTGTGTACGTGCGCCATCTAATTCAGTAATTCAGTGCCTAGCCTCAATACTTAGCATCGGTATTATTACTAATTATGGCTTTCATTTATTATGGCCTGCTGTTGCTGGGGATTGGGGAGATGGCTTATTTGGTAAAGTATTTGCCATGCAAGCATGAGGACCAGACTTTGGATCCCCAGAACCCACATAGAAAGCCAGGCACCGAGTATCTGAAACCCTGGCAACGGCAGTGGGGGACACAGGCAGATTCCTGGAACCCACTGGCACACCAGTCTAGTCAAGTGGATTAGTTCCAGGTACAGTGAGAGACCCTGTCTCAGAAGATAACATGGAGCACAACTGAGGTAGACACCCAATGTTGACTTCTGGTTTCCGTATGCACGCGCACACATGCATATGCATACATGCATGAGCACAACATACACACCATCCCTCCACACAAAAAGAGCATTACAAAACCATAATAAAACCTACTCATGTTTTTACACAGATGCAAGGAAAATCAGGATTTCAAAATGATAATAAATTATTGTAAGATTACAGATATATAAAAGGTAAAACAGAAAAAAGCATGTTAAGAGCAAGAAGCACTGAAAACAGTCTCTGAACAGGCACAGGCATATACCCTCAACCTTCTACCTTAGAAAGGTCTAGAAAATCCAAGAAGACTCAAGCACATCTCCCATTAGTCATGGAGGTGGCAATGCCATCTTTATAAAGCCCATTGTAACCTGAGAAAGAATGAGAGCAGAAGGGGTAAATCACATCTCTTTTATTAAAATGATTTTGACTTCATAAACACATTCGGCGGGTATTGGACCTCCCCCACTCCCCCCCCCCACACTTTAAAAACTACATCTAAGGAACTAGCAACTGGAGAGAGAACGTGGCACCTCAATGGGGAACAACTTGTCAAAACAACAACAATCTACTCATAGCATGTATATTGTATTTCATTAAGTCCATTAAAAGTTTGCTGGAATATGAGCTCTCTCTCTATCTCTCTCTCTCCCTCCCCCCTTTCCTCCCTCTCTCTTCCTCATCCTCCCAAGGATCAAATTCAGGACTTCACTTGTAGTGTGCAAGTGCTTCACCATTGAGCTACACCCCCCAATAGCTTCTTGATAATTCTAAAAATTAAATTTACAAGAATTATTTTGTAAAAAATATATTTTTAATTTATTTATGATTTTTATTTTATGTGTTTGAGTGTGTTGCATGCATGTATATAAGTGCACCTGTGTCTTGCAATGCCCACAGAGGTCAGAAGAGGGTGTTGGATCTCCTGGAACTGCAGTTACAGACGGTTGTTGGTCACCATGTGGGTTCTGGGAACCAAACTCAGGCCCTCTACAAGAGCAGCTAGTGCTCTTAACCCCTGAGCCATCTCTCTAGCCCCAAATTCACAAGAATTCTTGACTAGAATGAGATCTTTGCATAGATCAAATTTTCAAATTGGCAATTTGACATAGAGAGAAGAAAATATAGAGGACATGGATGAACTTTAGAGAGAGTTTTCAGCACATTCTCAAATGTGTATAATATACTTCCATCAAAATTCTTTTTTAATATTTTATCTATTTATTATTTTTACTTTATGTGTATGCATGTGTTACCTGCATGTAGGTAAGTGTACCCATGTTGTGAAATGCCCACGGAGGACAGCAGAAGTTGTTGGATCCCTTGGAACTGGAGTTATGAACAGCTTTTAGCTGCCATGTGGGTGCTGGGATTCGAACCTGGGCCTTCTGCAAGAACAGCCAGTGTTCTTAACCACTGAGACATCTCTCTAGCCCCCCAAATACTTTTTATAATAGAAAAACCATATTGCATTGGAGGTTGGTAGGGGAGCAGAGGTGAATGAAAAGGAGTATGCATTTAGAGACAAGATGAGTCCATTGTGCCATTTATAAGCCTGGTAAATAGGAACTTGTGTAATCATTAACATCTATTGGAATCCAGGGAGTCTGAGTGAGGGGAATCTTGCATGCACTGAGACAGCACATATATATGTACTGTTTGGATGAGCAGAAAGAACAGGTGGGATGCTCCTTCCCATGGATGTGTTACAGATGAGTAAGAGACAGCACATAAAAGGAGGGGACCTAAAGTGGGTTTTAAAGGGCCGGAATAGAGGGTGCAGATTGAGGTGTTACAAGGATGAACTAGAAAAAAGAATGCATTGGGTAGAATAAAGTCACCCCAGCAGGAATCCTCCCACAACTCCACTTTGCTGACAAAAGCAACATTTTCCCAGTGACCTCTAAACCCATCAGAGGGCACTCTTTCATATGAATGCTCTTTACATAAATTAAGCCATTTAAAAATGCCAGTCGTTCCTAGGCTAGATTGGGGCTTTTTGCCCATTTCCCCAGTTCTATGCTGGGTTTTTGACTGGTTTGAGTCTGCATGGATCTTGTGCATGCTGTCACCATTGCTGTAAGTTCATATGAACAGGTTCCAGGAAGTCAGAAAACTATTAGCAGATGATCACTGCTGGGTGAGAGAGAGTTGGTTGTCTTTAAGGAAGTGATACTAGATAGACCGCCCTAGCTCCAGTGAATGAACTCACACAGAGGAACATCTGGGGACACAAACTTGACTAAATAGGTCTTTACATATACAACAGAATGTATAAAATCTGGTGGCGGGGGGCTATGGGGTGGTACAGATAGGGGAGGGGGTCTAAATATGATTAAGATGTAGTGTATGAAATCCACAAAAATTAAAAAATGTATATTGGAAAAAAATAAAAATGCCAGTTGTAGAACAATTCACTTCTGATAACAACTGTAGTAGCTTAAAATACAGATAACTGAGCTATATGTGTATCTCCGTGGTAAGACTCACCTAGTCTGTATGAGGCCCTGGGTTTAATCACCAGTATCCAAAATAATTTAACAAGAGAAAAATCCTAATAGAACTGATATGGATAAATACCTCATAGACTAAAATGGCTTGGGCTAGAAAGAAGGCTCAGCAGGTAAAGATGCTTGTGTCAAGCCTGAGGACTTGAATTTGATCCCTAGAACTTATATCGTAGGTAGAGAGAACCAACTCCCATAGGTTATCCCCTGACTTTCACATGTGCACTATGGTGCCCTTCCCTCCCATACACACAAAATAAATAAATAAATGTAAATAAACAAATGTAAATTTTGTAAAGAATTAAAGGGATTTGCTTTCACTATACAAGGATAATTTAGTTACCCGGAACAAACATGGTCGGAATCTTCTTTGAGGAGAAAAGTAAAAAATATAAAACTCATATAAAATGTTTGATTCTAAATTCAGCTTAAGCTTATAGCTTACTGTCACCCATGTACCCATTCAGCACATATCTGATAGTTACAGAGTGTGTTGGACATAGTAGCTCATAGTGAAATACAAAATAAGAAAAACTCAGCATGTGCCCACATAAGGTGTAGGGGAGGGCTGACAATTAAGGTTAATGATAAGGAGAACTTAGCAGTGCAAAGGGGCAGTTCCTGAATGAGAAAATAACACACTAGCTAATTATCGAGTTATTATATGCTAGAACCCATTCTCAAGGTTTTCTTCATATTATCTCATTCAAACTTCATAAGGATCTTGGAAAGTGGGAACGATGGCCCTCGTAAAAGTAAGGAAACAATATCTTCCCCAAGGTCGCACATCCAAAGGGAGGATTATAACACAGTCCCCTAGCCACTGTCTCAAGGGTGCTTCCTAAAAGGCAATGTTTGAAGTAGATTTAAAAGGTGGTATGACTGGGACATGCAAGCCACTTCCACATTTGTAAAATGGGGATAATTGCTGAATTTATTAGGAAGATTTTTTTATGAAGAGAAAATGAAAATTTTTAAGTATGTAGAACAATGCTTGGAAATTAAGAGTCTATGTGGGCACCAGTCATTATTATTGTTTGTATAACTAAGAGCGATGGGAGAGGGTGTCTGGATGCAAGTTAGAGATCAGTCTAATATAAAGCATCTTCCTACATGCACTGGATTGGGATGGTGGAGCCCACTGAAGTGTTGTGGAGAGGGACTCAAATGGTAAGGAGATGATTCTGAGAAAGTGCATCTTCTTCAAGAGATGTCTCTTGATGGCCCTGACAGTTCTTATCCACAGTCCCTTTTAGTAATATTAAATTTGTGCAGCTTGTGTTCCATTAGGGTCCATTTGTCTCATGGATTTAGAATCTCTGTAGACACAGGGAGTGTAATGGCAAAAAGAAAACGTATCCAGCCTCAGACAGAGTGGTGGGCCATAGCTGTGCTGATCTAGCCAGAACTGTGAACTGAATGACAGAGAAAGTCACGGTTTGAGGCACTTTGCAGAGCTCTGAGAAACTACAGGGACCCCAGGAAAGATTAAGGCATAAGTAGGTGGCTAGACACAGATAAGTGGGCTTCTGTCTTTGGGCACCCCACCCACCCAGCTTGTGAAGACTCTATCTTAAGAATAAGTGAAGCAATTTACATGAGGTGAGCAGTTCTTTTTTTCTGGTGACATCATTTCTTTCTATTTCCTTATAGTCTCCCTTTTCACGTCCATTCAAAGTTTTGTTTCATGAGTATCTCCACTTCAAAGCAATGAGTAAGAGAGGCAGAAAGTAGGCAGAACTTGAGAATAAAGTATCCATGCAAGGACACTGGAAAGGTGGTCACCCTATTTGCAAAGGCTTCAGCAGGTCTTCAGGATCCGGCAGCAACCTGGAAACCTAAGCCCAGGACGTGGAACAGCTTTCAGGGATTCAATCAGATAGGCACCCCGACATGTACCCCAGTTTCCCAGCTTCTCAGGCTCCTCATCCACATCCATTAGCCACAGTGCTTTCAGATGTTTATAAATTTATCAGAAATAAGAGTTCTACGGTAAGTAAAGCAAGGGCGCTCATCCCGGCCATCACCTTAGATATCTGTATCTGTATGCTTTTCTTCCAAACAGTACCGTGCTTACCATGGAGCCTTTAAACCTGACGACACAGCTTCCCCAGGAGACTCGTATGACCTCCAAGCTTTGCGTTTTCTGTCTGTGATTTCAATCGTGGACCCCTGGATTTTCATCATTTTCAGGACTTCAGTATTTCGGGTGTTTTTTCACAAGATTTTCATAAGACCTGTTATCTATAGGAGTTGGCACAGCCATTCTTGCCGAGCTAACATGGAATCCACTTTCTGACGGTTACTTTCTCTGGTAAGTTGAAGAATATATCACACACTCAAAGGACCATAATTGGAAAGAAAACTTACAATCAAATTCATAAAAAATTATCTCCCATAACTAAGACAGCTATTTTCAAAAAGTGATGTATCTTAACAATATGTTGTCAATCTGTATTCATAAACCATTTTGGTCCATTTTTTATTTTATGTAAACAGCAACTAAAATTTGTATGTTGTAGACAATGTTAAAAGTGTTAAGGCAGTGGTATAAATTGTCCCAACATTTGTACTTGGTGGCCCTAAATTTTTAAATCTTGAGACCTATGAGTTTTTATTTAAAGTAGAAACATTACTGTCTATTTACAATTATGTGATAAGTGTTCGTGAACAAGCCCAGCAATGACTTACCCTATTCATTTCTAGTGAATCTTAATTTATTCCAATCCATAATTGCCTCTGTTTAGTTGTGTTCTTTGCCAGGTGGCCTAAGGGTAACCTAAATTATATATACTACTCTGAGAAGAGAGCTGGAAAACAGGACCAGGTCAGGCACTTGAGAGACCATCTGGGGATCCTCACTGCCACAAGAGGAGATTTGCGGCTCATGTACAGGCAGTATGAGGTGAGATGTAACTATGACCCAGGACTCAGAGGAAAAAGAACACTATGATTGTTTGAAGTCCAGTCTCATGTATGGAGGCAGGGATGTCAGTGGGAATCAATATTTGGGAGTTGACTCCAAAATTTTAAAATTATTGTGTGATAGCTAATCCTGGGTGTCCACTTGACTGGATTTTGGATTAAGTGAAATGAGAGAAACCTTCTTGATTGGATCATCTGAAGCTGGAAGACATACCCTAAATGTGGGGATTACCTTCTGATGGCAGCCCATATAAAAGGCCAAGGCAGAAGGGAGCCCTTGCTTTTTGCTGCTTGCCTTCTCTCTCACTGGTGAGTTCGTCTTGCTTCTATAGAATGAAGACTAGCAGATCTTTTGGAATTCATCAGACCTTCAGTGCTAGATGGGACTACTGAGACATCCAGCCTCGTGGACTGAGCAACTGCCGGATTCTCAGCCTCTCCAGTGTGGTGCAGCCATTGTTGGACTGCTCGGACTCTATCCTGTGAGCTAATCTGATAAATCCATATACCTATATACATATATATAATATATATGTATATATGTATATATTCATTTTATCAGTTCTATTTCTTTAGAGAACCCTGACTAATACATCTTGGAAACTTTATTATTACATTCATGAATTCTTTGGGGGGAAGGATTTATGTTTCTTGGAAAAGTATTGTTGTGTAACTTACCAGAGAGCTATATTTCTTCAGCCGTGGGAAGTCACAGGGCATTCAGCACAGCAAGAGGCCCACCTAAAACTTGGCCTCGGTGGAGGGTGATGGCAATGCCTTTAACATCTGCCTATCACAGCTGCATTCTGCTGTTTATAGAGACAGTGAGACGTTCCTGAGGTACCTCTGAGCTATGTTTGCAAATCTGGAGCAGGCCATGGCTCAGAGGGAGCACTACTGAGCACTTTAATTGAACACTTAACAAGTTTACACAGGATAGCAACACTACGGCCGAATGGGAAAGTTCAGGAAAGGCAGCTGCAGCTGGCCAGAAGACTCTAGCCCTAGTTCACACAGCAAGAGCTTTTGCCTCTGGTAAAGGAACAGATGGAGGATGTGAGAGGGATTTCTGCATGGCCGGAGTCCCCGTGCACCCTGAAACACATGGACTCTGAGATGATCTCAAGACCTGCCAGGAAGCCCTTCCAAAGACAAGAGGAATAGCCTTCTTTCCAGCTTTCAGCATCCCCATTTTTCCACCTATGATTTTTCTAGTATCTCAGAGATGGTATTAATCTAGTCATGTATTTTTTTTTGTATAGCAAAACTGTGAAAACTCAAATTAGGAATATAGGAAGTATAATTTGAGAGTATGACATAATGAAAAATACAGTTGTTTTTGAAGTTTAGCTTTCATTTGTATGTTTAGTGTGTGTGTGTGTGTGTGTGTGTGCGTGCGTGTGTGTGTGTGTGTGTGTGTGTGTATTTATTTGGTCTGAGGAAGTGCATCTTTTTTGTGTTCTGCTTTTAAAAGGATATTATGATAACTGTCCAGATGGGCTCCAGATGAACCAATAAATGTGATTTTATAATATTTGTAGAGGAACTTACTTCTCTTCAGATAGCAGAAAAACATCTGCTTCTCTTTTTAAAAAATTTACTTATTTTTATGTGTATGAGTGTTATGCCTTCATGTATGTAAGTGCACCTGTGTCATGCAGTGTCCGCAGAGGACAGAAAAGGGTGTCAGCTCTCTGGAACTGGAGTTACAGATGGCTGTTGGATGCCATGTGGGTGCTGGGATTCAAACTCAGGTCTTCTTGCAAGAGCAGCCAGTGCTCTTAACCAGGAGCCATCTCTCCAGCCCCCTGATTTTCTTTTTTGAGCAAATGGTTGTCAGCAATGTTTCAATCTCTAGCATTGTAAGTGTAAATTTTCATAATGTAAGTCCTGTTAGCACTTATATTACCTTGAACAAATTTTCATAGGTAGACCCAAGAGCTTAATGTTCCTCTTTGTTTTAAACGAAATGCTAAGATGCCGCCACGATGAAATTCATGTTAAGTTAAAATCTACTGTGCAGCGACCATCAGTGATTTTTTTCATGAGTTCATTGGCTCATGGGGACAGATCCACCTCCCAGTGGTTGGTTAGGTGCTTGTTGCTCATTGTCCACTAGGGGGAGACAAGACTATAAATAGTTGCAATGCAACTGGAAGTTAAATGCCAAAGGTGCCAAGAGACCCCCAGCGGGGAACGTCATGCCAGCTTGTCCGAAAATCTCTATGGGGAGCACTGAAAATGGGTACAATGCCAACTCCAACTGAAAGCTGAAAAAGACGCTCGAGTTCACAGAAGAGGAAACACATGGTTAAGACACGTAGAAAAACACTGAACTCGTAATACAGTTCCATGGTACGGCACGTGCATGTGTGGGGCCCTAAATTCAGTTCTCAGCACTGCAAAATATATAGAAAAATATTCACACTAATCAAAGAAATACAAAAACAAACTATCAAGGACCAAACAAAACACTATGACTCATAATAATCAGAAAGGTCATTGAAATAGGAATATTCACGCCCCACCCCGAGTTTGAAAATCCTAGAAACTTTCTTTAGCAGCTCTACAGTGCACACCAAGAGCATAAACTGACCTATTGTTCTAGTTCCCTGCTCTGGGTCCCAGAATTATACACAAAGCTTCTTTTGGAGCCTTACTTACAGTAACAAAAACATATTACTGAACAGAACGAGCGCTAAACCAACAGACATTCAAATATACCTCCATGCACATAAATTCACAAAGCATGTAGCCATTTAAAAGGTTATTTAAAATAACATTATCACTAAGAAGAAAACATGCCATGTAACACTAAGTGATAAAAGCATGGTACATACTATTTTAAGTAAAATACATGTAAATATGTAAACAAATATATAAATATGTAAACAAAGAAAATATCTTGCAAACATAAGTCAAAGAAAGCATGAACCATAGTTGCTCCTTTTCATGGACATTTTCCCAAGTTTTAAGATAATAAATACTTCCCTTTTTAAAAATTTTATTTATCCCTTTTATTTTATGTATATGAGTACATTGCCTGCATGTCATGTAAGTACACCTGTGTCGTGCAATGCCACAGAGGTCAGAAGAGGGCTTCGGATTCCCCTGGAACTGGAGTTAAGGACAGTTCGTAGCCGCCATGTGGGTGCTGGGAATCGAACCCGGGGCCTCTGCAAGAGCAGTCAGTGCTCTTAACCGCTGAGCCGTCTCTCCAGCCCCAATAAATACTTCTTTTATATGGAATTATATTTTGAAAGAATGACTAGAACTGGATGAACAGTCGAGGGGAAGACACCAAAGGCGAGATTTGGGTCTGATAAACAGAATGTGCAGTCATGCGAGGATGAAGGAATACAGCCTATCCAGGCTTAGTAGCTCCATTTGGCAGAAGCATGAGACTTACAACCAGAACCTGCAAGAAAAAGGCTGAAAGACAGGCAGATTTCGTATCAATGAAGGTTTAGGAGGATCAGTAGTGGAGAGTTGGAGTTCCATCGGCCCCTAACTACTGATTACTAGAGGCTTTGAAATGAGGGTAGTCAGATGGAGTTGGGAGAAGCTCCCACTGGAATATGGGTTGTGAATGGGCAGAGCAGGGGCATGGTTGTGCCAAGCCTGACACGGTTCTACAGACCCTGCACTGGACACTTGCTCTCAGCTAAGAAAGTGAATGAGCCACAGTACAGCCTTGCCCTGGCTCTCCCTGCTATGGGTCCCAGCAGTTCAGAATAGGGATCTTTTATGATCTTTGTACTTGAATTGGGACATAAAGACTTCACATATGCAGGCCCAAAAAAACTCAGCTGCAAGGATCCCCTCAAAAGGTAAAGATAAACTTGAGTCTAAAGATCTATCCTCCAAGACTGGGAGCCCAGTAGTGATCCCCAGACCCAGCTCCCCCACCATCTAGCTTAGCAGCCACCTGGCCCTCCCAGCTAATTCTGAACCCCATGGAGTCTAACCTGGAACTGCAGGTAAGAATCCCCAGACTCAATCTGCCTGCCCACAAGCCACCTCACCCACAGCTCAGCCCTTGGACCACATGGCATCTCATGACCACGACTCCATATAGGGACCCACAAAGTCAGTTTAGCACCCCACCTACCAAGACATTCCAGTACCATGTGGTATCCCGTACCCCTCATCCCAGATAAGGACCCTTATTCACTTCCAACAGAGTATGGTGTGGCATCATGTACCCAACCTCCAAGGAGCACCACACACACTGTAACCCCAGCCCCTTTCACCCAAAGAACATCATAGACGCTGGTAAGCCCTCTACAAACTTCAGAAGATCAGCCACCAGAATCTTCTAAGTCCACAGACACTTTCCTCCTAGGCTCAGAAGTTGTACCTTTCCCTAGCTGAACTAAGAGCACTTCTGACACCCCATTCGCCTATCAACACAGAGTGACCCCGAGGCTGAACATCAAGCACCACTCAGCTGGGCCACAACCTGACAAGTTTGGGTAACAACAAACAAAGATCCAAGCACGCAGTCAACAAAGGTGAGATCAGATATCCATACCAAGAAACACCACCAGTGACCTGACTCCAGATGCCTAGATCCAATCTCCTAAACACAAATGACGTGAATAACCAAGACAGTATGTCTCCTCCAGAAATTAAGATGTCCACTGTAATGTTTCCTGAAAAAAAGCAACTTAGCTGGTGGACAAGACAACGATTTCAGAAAGAGTAATGATAAATATGTTGAAGGAACTCAAAGAGGATATGAATAAAAGATTAAAGATGGCAAAAACACAAACAGTTGAATGAAGTAAGTAAAACAAGTCTACATATGAAATTAGAATTTAATTATGAGAATCTCTGAAGAAAAAGCAAACTGAAAAACTCAGGGAGACAGACAAGAAGCTCAGAGGAAAGCCTCACCAATGGACCAGATCAGGTAGGACAGAGAACACCAGGTCTCAAAGGCAAGGTAGAGGAAATGGATCACTCAGTCAAAGGAAATGTTCATTTAAAATAACCTAGGAAAGGTGCATGTATAAATTCTAGGACAATATAAAAAGACCAAACCTATGAATCAAAAGTACAGAAGAAGGGACCCAGATCAAAGGCACAGAAAGTACTTCAACAAAATTGTAAAAGAAAATTTCCCAGATCTAAGGAAACAGACACCTACAAAGGTGCAAAAATCATACAGAACACCAAATAGGCAGGCCCAGAAAAGAAACGCCCCATAATAGTCAAAACGCTAATTGTACAGAGCAAAGAAAAGATACTCAAAGCTGAAAGAGAGAAACATCAAGTCACACATAAAGGTAGGACCATCAGAATGACAACTGGCTTTTCTTTTTTTTAATTTTTATTTTATGTGTATTAGTATATTGCCTGCATGTATGTAAGTTCATTCATGT